CCCCAAAACCCCAAAACCCCAAAACCCCTAGGCTGCATTACTATTCTAATAATTCAAATGATTATTAATTTCCAATAAAGTAATATTAATCACAAAAATTTCTTTTTAAGAGCGAAAAAATCTTGTCTCTAGTCCTAATAATTGGTGCTCAAAAGCTCATTAATTTGCCACACCTTTACTTTTTTATCAAAAGTCTTATCGTACTTTGAGAGAATTTGAAGCACATACTAATGTGGTTCATCTGTTATAGATTTATTTATATTTTTCCCATTGTCTCTATTTGATTTAAAGCTTGGGGATTTATTTCTTCTATTAACAGAAGATTACTTCCGCTCTTGAAAATTTTAGCTTTGCCAAATTTAATCAAAACCGCCACTGCTCTTGAATCCAGTTGCTCCCATTTCTTCATCTTTCAGGTCTGAGAACTGATCTCTTACTCTATCCATTAGAATCTTTTCAAAAAGCTTTTCTTTTTCAATTTCAAATTGTCTCATGCCTCTCCTTAGACTCTTTAAGCTTTATTTTTCCTGAAGTTTCTGTTTTCTCATTACCTTAGAGTCTTCAATAATTTTGTCTAGTTTATTCTTGCATTTTTGAATGTTAGTGTTCTAAATAGCACTATCTTGCCAATCTGGAAAAACCAAAGCTGTTATATCCTTCTGCTTGTAGTTAGAGCTTACATCCTGACTTCTGTTAAACTTTCTCTTTACCACTGGATTTATCTATCTGGTAGTATTTACCTTTGAATTTTCAATTGAATCCTCCTCTGTCTTGGCATCTAGATCTAACTCAAACATGCTATTTCTGGAATTTATTGGGTAATTTTACTATGCTAACTAGGACTAATTTAGTGTCTTCTACTTTTACTTTTCTATTGTTTTCTACCTTTTTAATTCACTAAGTGCTTTAAGTTTATTTACTTATAGGCTTAGCCTTTACAAACTAATTGATTTCTTGGAGTCTTTATTATCTATTACTGGTAGTTCTCTCACCTTTGGATTCAGAATAAGTTTCATCTTTTCATCATCAACGAAAAAGGGTGATATTTCCTGCTATGTAATAGACAACTTGTCATAGATCCTCTGCATACTTTTATCCTCATTAAAAGCGAATTTGAAGATAGACTTATCCACTTATCTCTAAGTATTCAGCTTTGAACTCTTAGAATTAGTGCTTTATAGAAGCTTTTACTTTACTGAGACATTCGTGGTTGATTTCTAAATGTTGATTTATGAGTTAACTAAAGAGTAATCTATTTAAGATTGATTCTAAGAGGTATCAAATAATAGGTTTTGAGAGTTATCAAATCTGTTAGACAACTAATCACCATATTTATCATCACTTTTGAAATCATTTAAATTACTTTGGTTCATTATCTAATCATAGTCATCTATCTGCGTTAAAATGGGTCATAAGAAGGAAGATATCTGTCCCCTATCTTAATTTGCCTATGATATACTCAGATTTTTTCCAGAATTCTTACTGTTCCTTGTTTTCGAAATGTTTAATTCACTTGTATTATTTAGTTTTATTCCTCCTCTATCTAAAACAGATTTATTCCTAATGCTTGAATTTATTTGGTATTAATATTCTGACTAAATTTTATTATTTTACTATCCTTGACTTTTAAAATCTAGTACAGATAACTAGCCCAAACTAACTAAAAGATTTTTGCTTATTCTAATTTCTGGTTCTTTTAACTAAGCATCTGAGTATCTAAATCTCTACTTTTTGATAGCTTGATAATCAAGATGCCTTACTATATTAGTAGATCTTTCTTTGTTATCAGCATGAACCTCATTTTGTTATCTAAAAAATTTCAGAAATTTACTGCCCTTTAGTTCTAGATTTCTAAAATAATCATTTTTAGGTAGATGCTTTTCAATTTTATCTTGCAACACTACAGAATAATCCTTAGACACTCTTCTCATTGATTTTCTTTAAGCCATTAAATGAGCTAATTTTTTATCCTATTGGTTGAATTTATCAGATATTTCATTGAAACTAAATTAAAGCTTGTTCTAAATTTCAATCTTTTTTTAGGCACTTTTTTATTCCTTGGTTATTTAATCTTCTTCATCAGGTACCTATGTCACTCGTTCTCCTGTAAAAAGTACCTAGCCCTTTGAAACATCAAAAGAAAGGTCAAAGTTTTCTTGAGGTACAATATCGAATGTAGATTTATGTCACTTATTTTAGTATCATTTAGTCATCTGTCTCTAAAGTTGGTTTTGTATTTACTCTAGGACAGCAGAGTTTTTAGCACTAGGATGATTTGGATCATTTGCCTTTGGGCTTCGGTAGTTCTCAATAATCTTCATCATTTCTTGAAATTGCTTTATCGAAAAAATCATAGATTGCTTTGCTCCTCTCATTGGACTGCTATTTTCCTCATTTGACTTTAACCCAGATGCATTAGTTTAGCTTGAATGCTGGACATGATTTTAATTATAGCTATTTTCATTCATTTCCACTTTTTGTCGCTTAATTTTAATTTATCTATTAAACAAATTAAATTAATCTAAAATTTTGCATAATGGGGTTTTGGGGTTTTGGGG